CCACCAGCCTTCTGGTTAGCAGTCAAGTGCCCTAGGCACTATGCTACCAGAGCTCCTGTTGAAACAACCAGTAGATGCTTTAACAGATCATGCTGTCTGATGAAGCCTTCCTCTGTGGGTGGTGCTCTCACTGTCCAGAAAGCTCCCCCAGGAATTCTGATGATGGGCATGACACTTTGAAGACAAGGAGCAGTGAAAACACTCACTAAATTCAAGATAAACCACCCTCGAGGTATATGGCCACCTTCTCAAGGAAGGACAGCATTGGAACTGCACCTAAATTTCACTGTTACCTCTGGCTGGCTTTAATCCAGTATCACAAAATGTGCTTTCATCAATGTTAAATTTTTACAAAGAACGTTGGAATTTTTTCATTCCTCCTGGGACTATTCTGTAAAGAAAAATGAAGCCGTGGATAGCTGTCTGGTTTGAATGGAAACTAAATCAATTTGGATTAATTTTCAAGAAAGTAAAGTATATTCTCTCCTTTCCTCTCACAGCTAACTTTGCAGGTGACTACTCAAACTGTGCAGTTCAGGTGGAAACAGAAACACATTCTGTCCAGAATGGTTAGGATTTTCTAAAACTATTGTAAAATACTATTTGGAAATTGTGAATCCAATTATTTTCCGGGGAACTAATGCGTTCATAAGGAGCTCTGGTGGCGTAGCGCCTAAGGCATTTGAATGCTAACCAGAAGGTTGGCAGTTCAAATTCACCAGCTGCTCCTCAAAAGGAAGACAGGGCAATCTACTTCCATAAAGATTCACCACCTCAGAAACCTAATGGGAGTGACTACGAGTCAGAACTGACTCTATGGCAGTGGTTTTAATGGGTTCATGGAGTTCTGGTGGCACAGTGATTAAGCCATTCGGCTGCAAACCACAAGATTAGTGGTTCAAACTCACTAGCCATTCCATGGGAAATGAGGCAGCCTGCTTCCCTAAAGATTTACAGCCTTTGAAACCTTATGGGACAGTTATACTGTGTCCTAAATGGTTGCTGAATCAATATTAACTTGATAGCAGTGGGTCTTGTCTGGTTAATGGGTTCATATGAAAGCCCTGCAAGCATAGTGGCTAAGCTCTTGGCTGCTAACTGAAAGACTGGTAGTTCGAACCCACCAGTCATTCTATGGAAGAGTCTGCTTCCATAAAGGCATGCAACCTTGGAAACCCTATGGTGCAGTTGTACTCTGTCCTATAGTGTCTCTGAGTCAGAAATGACTGGTCAGCAATGGGTTTTTAATAGGTTCACGTCTCTTAACAGAATATTCACATTATGTGCATGCCCTAATTTGAACAGTGTACACCCAATGGTCTATGGACAGAAGTCTCTGGGTAAATAAAACTGCAGAAAGAGAGTAGAAAGCAAATTAAAGTAATGGGGAAAAAAAAAAAAAAAAGGAAAATAAATGCAAAGAAAAAAGAAGGAAAGGAAAATACTTGGAAGGCACTTTTTCCATAGGAAAAAAATATTTTATTTTTTTAAGAACAAATTCAGTTTGAAACAGACGTGGAATGTGACTTCACGAATTTCATTTTCTGGGGTCTAACTGCAATGTGGAACTAAAGCAGATTTAAAACCTATGACAGGCTATTAAAATAAAATGAAGAAAGAAAAAAATATTTATAACTCAAGCATAATACTGTGTTACTTACAAATTGGACAAAGAAATTTTAAATAAATATTCATGGTACATAATTACGGCACAAATATGCAGCAATTTGGCAACCTTTTTACCATTTTTTTCCTCATTACAGTGCAAAGGGGAATGGTACTGCCTTTACACAAGCTGTAGCTAAATACATTGCAAAATTCAGATTTTATACAAAACATCTTGCTTAGACTTTATAAAAAACCAACATTGCTCTATGTACACAATCTGGGTAAGAAAAGCCATTTCTGTCTTGTTTTCATGTGTATTTTTATTAAAAAGGTGAATAAGGCTACTGTAACACCCCAAATCCATATACAGTAAAATCTGAACCTATTTACAGCATCTTCACTTAAACATGATGGTGCAAATTCCAAAGTCAGGTGACTAGGGATGATAATACAAGCAAGGCATTTACAGTAACTTTCTAAAGCTGAACCAACTTCAAATAAAGGAACAGTTGGTAGATTGTCATATTCTGCACCAGACACAAAACAGACGCACAGTACACTTCTCAATTCGTTGCAGGTAACTCTTCATCAATTCATCTGATTTTTCACAGTTTAGTATATAACCAAAACGTAGTCAACCGATGATACGTACATTTGATTCATTAAAATCAGACTCACTATTTCCCATTTTTCCCCTTCTTGCCCCTCTCCCCATACTAAAAGTAATTTTTGATGGCTTACAAGAAAGTCTTGTATGAACGCACATAAAGGAGAGGTCGGGGTGATGGAAAGAATTACATATGTACTGTGGCTGGTTACCACGGCAACCCTCCACAGAAATAGGATATAGATATATATAATATATATTGTAGATATATATTATACATATATGTACACATGTATACCACACACCCACTCATACATACACACACGCACTTTGGACCAACATCATTTTCAGGTTCAGGAAATAGAAAAGAATAATTTCTGTGACAACTCATTTTTGCAGGTACTCACTGGAGGTCTGAGAACCTTAAAATGCTGTTGCTACATTTTTTTTCTCCCAATTCAGAAAGCAAAGTGTTGTTACCATAGTAACAGGACTATGTTAAAGATGTCTATTTTGCATAGCACATAAAAAGTAGGTTTCTTGCTTATTTATTTTTTTTTCCAGAAGGAGGGGAGTGGGGGGAAGGAGAGGAGGAGGGAGCTAAAGCTAAGCTTTCAACTGAAACCCCCTCAATGTGACCTGCTGGATTCTAGCGAACACTTCAGCCCATAAGGCAAGGGAAAACACAACACAGAAAATAAATGCCGGAACATCTTGTCATTGTTAAATATATGATGCAGGAACATCAATTTCCTGGTATTTTGGGGCTTGTATTTCCTAGTCTATGGTTATGTGAGATGCCTTCAGAGGACTTTGTTATTTTTATATTTGCTCTCATTATTGTTATTTTTGGAGTAATGTTGTTTTTCCCAGAAGTAGCTGTCCAATTTTTTTTTTCTTTTTTTTTAAAGCACTGAGAGTTGGGACCACTTAATTGCCACGAAATGAATTTCACATCTTCTGGTGTGTACTCTGTGCAATTTTAAAATATATATTAGTAAAAATCTTTCATTTTATATCCCTTGTGTTCTATATACCTATTATAAATATGTCCTATCTTCCTTCTCCCCCTCAACATCATAATTTATTTCAGTCTTAAGGACTCTAAGAGGTTTGCCATATGTGCTTTACTTTGAAACAGAGCACCGGGGAGCTGAGGCCTCAGTCACAGTACCTATCCAGCAGCCCCTCGCAGCACGAACAGCACCACCATAAACCAAAGTGTCATAAGGCTCGATCTGGGAGGAGGGCGGGGACAGGGCACTGAGGGATGGGGTGGGAGAATCTGACCTACCTTTTATATATGAGAATTCTTTAATTACGTCAACGATGATGGAATTACAGCCTGTTTGACCCTTGGCTTTTAAACTTCTAAGGTCAGATTTGGCTCTCTGCTATTCTCCTAAATGCTTTCCCTGTGTTTAATAAAATGTGATAAGTATAGCAGCTGAGTCTGCTTAAAAAATCATCCAAAGCAGACTGACTTTCCTACAGCATCAGAGCTGTATATCTTATTGCCAGTACCACAACAGTCCTGCCCGAATATATCAGTGGCCTACTTTCTCCCTCCCCCCAAGCTTGTTCCTCTACCAACAATACCCCTTTGTTCCACCAAACAAGCGAAGAGGTACTATTTGCCTCTGCACATTGCTATTTGATACAGTGAATTCCTTCAAATGCATCCTAATCCACCACGTGTGTTGTTGTGTCTCCTACTTGCCTCCTAAGTCTTAACAAAACCAAAGTGCTGTGCTACCTGTTTTTGTCTTCTTCTTCCCAACTTTCTGTTTCAGAGGCAGCAGTGTTAAACTGCAATTGCAGTCAGCCCTTTCCCCTGCCCCACCCCCATCCGTGAACTCCTAGTCTTTCTCGGCTGACAGCCTAGCTTCTGGCTGGAAGGCTCCTTATTAGCAAACACAATTTCTATAAATGTATTACCCATTCAACTGTAGCTGTTGTTGCAAATGGATGGAGTAGGGAACTCCACACATTAATGTTCCATTAGTGATGCAGGATGGAGAGTGAAAGGGAATCTCATGAGAAGTACTGCAGAGCCCTGGATAACAGAAGGAGTGTAACAGTGATGGACTAAAAGCTAGAGATCTTTAAAAGCCTTACTTAGCCAGAGGTCTGTGTGACAAGTCCAGTATGCACTGAGAGAGATACACACACCAAGGTGGCCGAAGACTGCATTTCCAAGCATGGCATCCTAGGGTGCCTTCCCAGGATGCTCCGAGCTCTCTTTTCCACAAAGCACTCTGTCTTCCCTTGGCTTTTGTATATGCCTGAATTACTGCAGCACATGGCTTAGAGGATGATACATGTAACAAGAGTACAACAATCCGAATGGGTATCTTCTACACACAGGCTTCCAGCTTTCAGTGAGTATTTTTATTCACCAAGGCTGAAATTCTACAGACTAGGTAAACTGTCCAGCTCAACAAGGCTCTTCTGAGAAGGAGTGTTCCCTCTCCCCCACTGTGCTTCAGTCAATTCCAGAGCACAAGGTGTCATCAAACCCTCAACGGGAAGCATCCGAACAGTAAGTTTCCTCTGGGAAATCAAAGGTACCGCCAGAGTTCTCTCAGACCTTGTAGTAAATATTTGCTGGACTCTGAGGAGGCATCTCTTGGACTATGTACACTGGATGCCCATAATCACCACTGACTTTTTCATAGTGAGGGCAGAAAACACTGTCTGCAGTCCTTAACGGGATGATAATGTCACTGGGCTCGGAGCCATTGTTGTTGCCACTGCGCTTTGGCGTAGCTAATGTACTGAGTGACAGTGTGGTCGTGTGCTGCGGTGAGTGCTTCCTGTGTCTTCTCCGGTACTTCAGTAGAAGAACCACCAGAGTGATGATAATGACAATGAAGATGATGCATCCTGAAGCAATCCCTGCAAATAAGGCCACTTCGGAACCAAGGATATTGTTACCAGAATGTCCGGCACTGTTGCCGTCTGTGCTAGAACCTGTAGAAATTAAAAAAGAACAGAAGAAGGAAAAAGTTAGTATTGTCCAGAGTGCCGACAGGCTGTTTTTATGACGCTTACCAATGTGACAACTAAGCAGGACCGAAGATTTAACTGCTAAACTTTGACAAACCAATTACCTCCTTTAACAGCTAAACGCAAACGGCAGAAGTCAGCAATCAATATGAAATGAGATGTCGGGTCTCTAGGTCTGACTATTATGCTGCTCCCAAACCACATTGTTTTCTTTTCATATATCATTCATCCATCAACAGCATGGACTGGCTGTGACAGCCAGCCCTTGATCTCGCCTCATCTTTTAACCCATGTTAGCTAGCCTGAGGCAACAGCAGGGAGACAAAAAGGAAATGGCCAATTCTCCAGGTCATTTCTCAGTGTTCATGTTGTATTGCTCTTCCACTTTGCTTAAGATGTAGTGATTTCATGTGAATCTTCAAACAGTCTGCCTTCTAAAGAAAAGCCCTGACTACTGGCAGAACAGTCCAAGAACGTAAAAGGAGTGATGGGACCTGGGAAAATGTTCAACTCGTAACTCGTTTGTATTATTTGATTTACACTTAAAATATATTTGGAAGGCAGCAGAAACTCTCACACAGAACAGACTGCCAACCCAAATGTTAAGCACTAAAAAAATTGCCTGGCATCATTATATTATCCATTTATCAGTTTGTCACAAGTATTTGACACATCTTGTCACTGAAAGTTAGAAATAACAACTTCCCTTCTTGACGCTTGGAAAGAAATGGAATATTTCTGCAGATGCTAAATTCACACAATTACCAACCAGGCATACAGATCCCCAATACAAAACTGCTGACATCTGCTCAACAACTACTACATAAGAAAATTCATTAGCATAGCAACAAACACACAGCTATACGTTCAGAGACTGTTAGGAAAATGAAGTGAAACGACAGCCAATTTTGTATAGTATTCTAAACTTTAGTCAGGGATCACATTAATATTTTATTTTACTTTCAAAATATGAAAAAAAAAAAAACTTGGCAATAACCATCTTAAAAAAATGCAATTAAGCCATTATGCAATATTTTAAACTGTTACCATCTAAAACTTAGAAGAGGATCAATTAGACTCTTTGTGGATTAGATATAATTAGATGGGAGATTAGAACATTAATTACATATACATTAACATCAGCTTTAAGCTGCTGTTGGGAACCAGGCTTGGTAAAACATCAGCCAAGAAAAGAGGGTAAGAAAATAACTTTTGTCTGAGAGGGTAGTGCTAATGATTGGCACTTACCTCTGATGAATTCTACTCTTTTGAACCAAAGACTTTCATGGGAATGGATTATTTTCTTCTTATTGAATGTAATTAATACAACTTGCTGAAAGAATAGATTACCTTACTGTCCACTTCTGTAATTACCAGTTAATCCAACTGGTGTAAAAATACTTTGACTTTGTTCTACCCCTCGAGAGACCATTTTGCCACAGACCTACAAACACACAATTCATGTTGCTATACCTGGATTTGGTTTTACAAAGGGACTTGTCGTTGAGCTTCTTCCATTTGTACCAGCTTCCAGTTCTGGACGTCGCGTTGGATCATTATTCCTGGTTGACCCAGCAGAACTCGCATCTATACAAAAAAGAAATGATTAATTACAGCACAGACATCTGACGATATTTAACTTTATGAGCAGGATATATATCTCAAGAGGCATGAATAGCAATGAACATAAGCGTCTTTATGCAAAGTACTGTGAGATACAAGATTATAATATTCCTTTTAAAACAAAATGGTTATACTAGTTTTTTCAGAGGTTTAGATTGTGAGGCCATCTGTGGAAACTATAGGGATTCTTGCATTTGGCAGGCAAAGCATTGCAGATGACATTTCAATTTAACTGAGCAAGTTGATTGACTACTACACCAATTTCTAATTAGAAGAATAATTCTTTCTGCACAATAGGTTGTCTATATGTGAAAAGGCACAGTGAACTCTTCTGTAGTCAAGATTCAGAAATGAGCAAAATGGTAGAAACTTAATTTTCATTCTGAGTCTTTTAGTTTTGAACCAGAGATATTTGGCTTTTTGGAAAGGAAAAAAATACATATGGCAAGACATTCTACCTGGTTAACCTGTACTTTTAGAGAGATCTCTAATAAAAGAAGTTCATTACATTGACTTGAGAAAATCTGCCAGTGGCTCAAGGTGCAATGAAGGGTTTGCTTTCAAAACTAAAGAGAAGAGTGAATGAAGGTGAGTTTTATCACATTGGCTCCACACTAGCTGGGGGGCTAAACCAGATCACAGTGGCTTCATGAAGCAGCAGATGGTCTTTACCTTGTCCAACTTTCATGAGGATCTTCATGGCTCTTGTCTGGCACACCCCTCCCTCCTGGTTATCCAGGCCCTCCAAAGACCCATTTGATGTAGCTGATTAAAAATAAAATGGACAAAACAAAAAAATAAAGAAAAATCAGGAAATCAATAAGCCAAGTTTACATGAACATGAAATGTCTGAAAACAATTTGAAAAATAAGAATTCACTCTTAGTCACAAGTTTTCTGAACGTATGGAATGCTGAAAGCCAAAAATAAAAAAAAAAGAAGAAATAAAGAAAAATGGATAGTATAAACACTGCTCCACGTATGCTATCTGGTTTCAAATTTTCCTGAGCACCTTCCTTCCCTCACAATTCACTGAGTCAGTATTATTCTGTAGATAAAACAGGCAGCAGCATCTTCCAAAAAAAAAAAAAAAAAAGCCAACTGACTATTTTGAGGCCAAGCTAAAATGAGCAAAGTGGTTAATGCAGTAATTTTTTAAAGTGGCTAACATCACACAACATCTGCTTTCTCTAATACAGGTTTCCTGTTTCAAAAACAATCAGTTTGATATGCTCTGTGTTTCTAACATCCAAGTTCTGTAAACAGTAAAAGAGGAGTCTCCCACACCCCTCTTCTTCTTTCTCCAGCCTTAGACTTGTTTAAGATGTATTCTACTGCATCCCCTTGGTATACCAGAATTCAAGTCTTCACATTTTGAAGTCTTTCTCAATCATTTTGTAAACAGGAAAGAATGAGTGTGTTATTGTTACTCATGTTAGCCTCGGCCAGACTCTTCTATCAAACTACCTATGATAGGAAAACTCTGGATCACGCACACATGTCGACTGCTCCATTGCAGTACTGTGGCAATCCTGGATATAAGGTGAGGGCTTTCAGTAACCACTTGTCTCATATTCACCAACTTAATTCTCTTTCCACCTCAGCAATATGGGTCAGGTGGAAGGACAGAATCATTTTACCATTGTCGGTGTGTGTGTGTGTGTGTGTGTTATGCTCTTCTCTGTTAAAACCTGTATTTTGTTTCTTTAGAGCAGTAAATTCTCTGAGTAGTTTTGTAACTAAAATTGTAAAGACAGGCTGCCAAAGACTTCACTGAGGAACAGGATATAAGTTATAGCTCAAGTTCCAGGAGGGGAAAAACATGGAGAGTGCCAGATATTTTCATTCTTCTAAAGTTCAAGGGGCAAGAAACAGAAGTGTTTCATATACATATCTGCAATTGAAATCATTTTCTACTTCGATAATCAATGTTTTGTCTAGTAATCTTGTAATTTAAAAGGGATTAAAAGAGAGAGAAAGTTTCTGGTAAAAATGCATTCAAACAACATTTCTTTAATGGGACTGCCTGTTTTCCATGTGATGGAAAACAAGTTCTACATGTATTCATAGTAGAAATATGCATGTCATAGATAATTAACTACAAAATAAGGCATTACTTTATCTCTTTGTGTTCTTGCATTGTTGACTTTTACTGTTTACCTTAGAAATAATGGTGGCCTGTTCTGTGTGTAAGTATTTCCTTGCTTATCGGAGTGCCTGCTTTAACTTTATAATCATATCTCACTCTTCTACAATTGCTGACACTGAGTTTCTCCTGGGAAACTGGAACTGGGCAGTACTTTAGTGAAACTTAACCCATTCTGCTACACCAAGTTCCCTCCATGTGATTCTAAAATTTAGAGCTCTATTTTTTTTTTTTTTTTTACCAAATATATATAAAATAGGAGCCACTGTGTATGTGTGTTTGTGTAGGGGGGACCAAACTCACTGCCATTGAGTTGAATACAACTTATGGCGACCCCTACTTGGGTTTCCAAGGCGGTATCTCTACAGAAGTAGATTGCCCAGTTTTCCTTCTGAGGAGTGGCTGGTGGGTTTGAACCTCCAGCCTTCTGCTTAGCAGTCAAATGCCTTAGGCACTATGTCACCAGAGCTCCTGTGTATGCCTATGTGTATGTATATTTATACACATACATATATATACCTGCCAGTGGCTCAGGGTACATTACAGAGTTTGCTTTTAAAACTAAAGAGAGGAGTGAATGAAAGGCAAGTTTTAACTACATTGGCTCCTACTTTATATCTATTTAGTAAAAAGTAGACAGTGCTCTCTTACAGACTGCTAAGAAACTGGTTGGCAGAGAAGTTAAAACAAATTCCTACATTGTATTTATGCTTATTGAACCTAAATTTTCCCCCCATCTCCTCATTTTTCTCTTCTCCAAATACATGCCTAAATTTCAACATATGCTTTTTCCTCACAAAGGCTTTTAAACAGTATTGTTTTCTATGAGCAAACACTATTTCTGAACAATTTCAGAGCAGTACTATAATTGTTAATTATTGTCTAGAGATTTTTTAATTGCATCTTTCTTTAAAAATGGGATATTTCGTGGTTCAGAAAATGTATAAAAATGATGTTTTTATTCAGCTGATAGTTTCAAATGTTTAGTTAACTTAATCCAATCCCCACTGTTTTCAAACTCCCAAACACGTAAATGTGCTTACATGTAAAAGTGTACCCAAACTCGAAGTTACGTCACTAACTTTGCCTTGCTAAAAACTTTCAGCATTTAAGTTGACAAATAAAAACTAAGATCTGACAAGTGATGCACAGCAATAAAGAGAAGCATATACATTTGTTCATCTTGAGGAAAAAAGACGTCAAAGATTACGGTCTTAAAAAAAAATGTAAATAAATACCAAGTCAAGGTACAGTAGGGAAGTGTCACTGATAAATAGAATTCAAAACCTCCTATGTGGTGGTAGAGACTACTGATTGGACTATTCTGCTTTGTCAAATTGGATTCACAAGTGTACATAACTTCAGTGGCTCCTCCCTGCCCTTATTTGTAGGTCAATTTCTTTTCTGAATATCAGTGTCTTTGTGCAGAGCCCCTAGGCTTACCTGAAATGGTATCTGAGCAATCCCAAAATGTAAAGAACTCTTATGTATTCAAATTAAGTTGCAATCTATAATTTAGTATCCACAAACTATAAAATAGTAGGAGGGAAACTGAGTTGTGGGAGAAATGTTTTGCATCTTTAACAACTGAAACTTTTTTATTCCTTGGTAAGGAAAGCCTTCAAGCCCTAGAGTTGAATAAAGGAAAAGCTATAGATACTGCCTTTCTAGAGTTCTTCGAAAGTCACAGGCTATTGCTAATTTGGGTGAAGGGGGTGATGGATGGGGTACCAAAACCCACTGTCATAAATAGATTCTGACTCACAGCAATCCTGCAAGACAGAGGAGAACTGCCCCATAGTGTTCCCAAGGCTGTAAATTTATGGAGGCAGCTACTGACCTTTTGGTTAGCAACTAAATGCTTTAACCACCGCACCACTAGGACTCCTTACAATGAAGGGGTAGAGGGTAGAGGAAGGTAAAACAGGGCAGAACAATTTGAGTGGTAGATTTTGTACATCCCAGCCTCTGTTTTTTCTCCCTTTAACTGAAAGAGTAACTTGTGGAGGTTACTGAAAGACTGAAAAATTAATTACTATTGTTAAAAGAGCCCTTCAAGTATTTGGCTGTTTAAAAAGAGGCTATGTTGTTGTTGTTGTTGTTTGCCATCAAGTCGGCCCCGACTCATACTTTATAATACTATTAGATGTTTTTCCCTAAGATTTTTCCCATAAGTTAAGAATGAATGACCTAAGCTGTCAAAGAAAACTCCACTTTAAGATATTTCTATCACTTGAAACTTCAGTTCGGCATACAGAAGGTAAACTTTACAGTAAGTATGAAATAACTCTGCATGGCTTTGACTCATTTTATCCTTGGTCCCATGATGAAAATCACAGTTATTCTAATTTCTCTCTTCCCTACTACATCCCTCATCAGGGGATGTGGTTACCTCTGGAGCCCCTCCTGCCTTGAGCAGTGGCATAGCCAAAATGCTCTTCACAGTAAGAGCTTGTTCTGACTGTGTCAGTTTATAGGCAGTGAACCCCAAAATAAAATAACAAGATTCATATTCTGATTTCTGCAGCAATGGACATAGTCACCAAGAAACTGTAAAAGGCTTAGCAGCCAATTTTGAAAAATAAGAAATTACTGCTTGTGAATAAAATCTATTTCCATTCTGGAAGACAATTTTGCAATTATTTTTATCATTGATTTGAATGTATTAGGAATTTTTAACTTAGAAAAAGAGTAAAAATAAATTGTTACCTCATTATGCTTAGTTTTTCTTTGTATCTCTCTACCAGCATTATCTAATGCAGTCACAATCACAGTATTGCTAAATGGATGAAATTGCATTTAATCATTTAGAGACAGAAAAAATAACATTGTTATACCTAAGCTTTTAGTGCCCAGACATTTTTCCTCCCTTGGCCTGGGGAAAAATAACTTAATAAAATTAAAAATTACTAGAAAAGTTTCTCCATCTAGTTGGAAAATGGGTTTAATAAAGATACATGGGCATTTTATAGCCTGCTTTTAAAAGCTTTTGATTCAGGATCTAATTGCATGTACTGAAATCACTATTATGTCTCCCACCCTCCCACCCCCACACCAGGGCCTGATTTCCAGTGGGTGGAGGAGATCCTCATTGCTCAGCAAAAAAACTTGAGTTCACATTGCCTACAAGCTCCTAGCATATCTGAAAACCACACAGGCAACATCTGAAGTTCCTCATTTATTTGCCTTCAGATTTATCAGCAGGTCTTACTCACTGGGAATAATACAATGGATATCTGAGTAGGAAAAAAGGGAAATCATTGAGTAAAACAGACTAAAAGGGCAGGACTCTTTCTATGACTTTTAGACTGTCCTTATGGAGGGAAGTAATATTACATTTTAACATGTCTTCATTTGATTGTTATTGCTCTGTTCCCCAGGAGACTAAACTGCTGCACTGGACCTTGGCTATTTCTCCTTCCTCACATCGGTAACGTTGTGCTAATCAGACGGAGAATTAAACTGCTGGATTGGTGCCGATGCCTGGGAATCATTCACAAAAGCATTAGGAATGAGGGCAGTATGAAAAATTCTACAGACTAATGGCATCCTGTGAAGGAACTATTTTAGATTATGATGGAAAGAATGAAACCTCAAGATATACTAATACTATAAAGGAT